CCCCCCCCCGCCGCCAGGACACACCAGCTCCGCCTTTCTTCCTAGCTGTGCTTTGTTCTGGGGCTCGCTGGCTACCCAAGGCAGCTGGGAAAGTGAAAGCCCTTCTGTAACCTTGAGACTTTAAGAATGGGGAAAGTGGCCCCAGGTCAGTCCCTGTAGACCTGGAGCGCAACTGCACAGCTTGTGTACGCCGTGTCTGGCGAATCCTGATTTATAAAACCTCCTGCAGAATTGTATGCAGCCCCACTGCGTGCCAAGCACTTTTAAGAGTAAGTGCCTGGATAGGTGGGTAAACCTTTTATGACACATTCAATTGCTATAAATCATAATATGCGGCTCCACTATTGTAAAGTCACAGCCTAAGGCTATTTTTCAGCCTGTGGGGCTCAGGTTCTGAATCTCTTAAATCCACCTTTCTAGTGAGTTTAGATTTCCCACTGGCCCCTCAACTCACGACTCCAAAATTAACCCATCTCACTTTCATTAATGAAAATATGCTATGATGTACAAGAAAGAAAAAATACCCCAAACTAAAAAAAAAAAAAAAAAAAAAAAAGGATTAAAAAAAAATCTGGGACAGGCGTTGGTGGTGGATCTCTGTGAGTTTGAGACCAGCCTGGTCTACAAGAGCTAGTTCCAGGATAGCCTCCAAAGCCACAGAGAAACCCTGTCTTGAAAATAAATAAATAAAAAGAATCTGAGTGGTGATGGTACTTGCCTTTAATTCCAGCACTCAGGGGTCAAAGGCAGATAGATCTCTGTGAGTTCAAGGCCTGCCTGGTCTATAGAGTGAGTTACAGGACAGCCAGGACTACACAGAGAAACCCTGTCTTGTAAAAATTAATTAATTAATTAATTAAAATAAAATAAAAAATTTTAAAAGTCTGTATTTGTGGCTTGCCCTCTTGTCTAAGCATGCTTGTCTAACTGCTTGCTAAGCATGCAGTTGTACTGTTATGGGGTCTTTTGCTTGGATCTCAAATAGCTCAAACAACAAGTCAATGAAAAAAAGGTTATTATAATCAATTCTGCTAACTGATCAATAAGGAACACAGAACAGAACAGACTTGGGAGCCAAACTGTCACCCGAAACCAGAATACTACAGAGATTTTAACACAAAAACCACAAATAAGGTTTTCACCAATTAGGATTCAGGGATTGGGGACTTTCCTAGGGACATTACTTTATGGTTCACTTCTGTTCTCACTGGTTGGTTTGTTCACCTATGGCTATGTGGCTTAACCCACATTTATGTCTCAACTTACCAAACAGGTTGTCAGTTACCCAGGGAGGTCTTGGGAATTTAAACTTTATTTGACCCCTACTCAAAATGGAAGTTTTACTTTAAATGGCTTACATTGCCCCCTTGTCTTTACATTATTCAAATCTTTGATTATCTGTTTTAGAGTATAAGGGATTGTATTGGGTTCTTAGGACCATGAGCTTAACTTAGTTAACTCTAGACAGAACAAATTTAACTAAGACATTGAGGATACAACGCCCTATGAGAAGCAGAAGAGAAGGAGGACCAGTGGTCTTGCTAAGGTGGTGAGCAAGGTGGTTGGCCAAGGGGAACAATCAAAGAGATTCTGGAACCAGTTACTGGACTGTCTCCTTTGTTCCTCCCTATTCATCAGTTTTGTTTTACTTTTGCTACGGTGTCTTGGACGAGCCCAGAATGCTTGGCATAAAAACAACAAGTTTCCCACAATGCCATACAGAGACCTCTGTCCTTAAGAAACGATAGATCCAGTCCTCTTCTGTTTTGTAGGGCTACTTCTGCCAGGGAGTCTGTTTTTCTAACTGTCACATGGAGAAGTAAAGGTGGCTTAGGTCTCTGTCTGCCTGCTGGCTTAGGAGTTGGAGGTTTTTGTTTTGGTTTGCTTTGGTTTTTTCCAACCACCAGGAAGGCTATTCCCAAAACTGTTGAGCCAGCAATGCCAGTTCCTACAAGCAAAGGTAGGAGCTGAATGAGATGGGCTCTTCAGAAATGAGTGGCTCCAATGAGGATTATATCAGCTCAACCTGCTGGACCATTGAAGTATAGAACCTGAGGGATGATGTAAACAAGAATACGGAGTTCAGATTTGTCTGAGAAATGGGTTAGAGCTACACAGTGGGTAATACCAGACATGCAGACAAAACAAATGATAGGTGAACTCATGAGAATGCTAGCCAGTTTCCTTCAGGCTCCATCTTTTGCCATGGATGGAGTATGTATAGTTATCATTACAATATGTCCCATAATGAGATTTGGTCAAAGAAAAAGCTGTCAATCTCAAGCAAGTTCCTATGCCCTGGATATCCCCTAATGTAATAGACACATGAATAGACCAAAGGCATTTATCATCTGCCTGGCCTAAGGTTATCGTGGTGATAGATGAGTCTTTCCCTGGTGTGGGTATACTTGCAATCCCTACATTGTGGTGATATTATTCATGATTTATTAAAGCTAGCCTGAGGATTCAGAAAGTGAAATCAGCCAGAAGCCATAGAAGCCAGGCACACATCTTTCATCCCAGCAGCCAAAAGCTAGGAGGTGATGGTAAACACCTTTAATCCTAGAACTCAGGATTAAGAGATAGATGGATCTCTGTGAGTCCAAGGCCACACAGGATACAAGAGATTGAATCAGTCTAAAAGAAAAAGGAATCACATGCCTTTAATCCCAGCACTAGAGGGGTATAAAAGATAGAAGCAGAGTATGAGTTATTCATTCTCCACCCACACTGAAGATAGCAGCATTCATTCTCCAGCCAAACTGAGGAGAGGCAGCAATTTGAGACTTGGTGAAGAGCTCATGCATTGATCAGCCCTTTCAGCCTAAGATAGAAGTGAGAGCTAGTGACCAGCTGCTTTGCTTCCCTGACCTTCAGCTTGAACCCCAAAATCTGTCTCTTGGTCATTTATTAATTCATGTTATATAACATAATAAAGGAGCCTAGGGTCTAAACACAGTCAATACTACCAGAGCTAAACCTTTAGTCCAAGACTTTCTGCTTTCCTTTTAATGGTTTTCCAACTATCTATAACTAGGAGCCTCCAGGAAGAATAACACCATTATACCAAGTAACAGCCCCAAATATATTATCATTTGCCTCAGATGAATGGTATGTTTATTCCTACTAATAGGACCCACACCCTAAAATTCCAGAATAGTCTTAGATACCTTCTATAGTAACCAATATGCTTTAATGGCCTATATTAATTATTTATGAGTAGTTGGTATGTATATGACATATACATGTGTATGCTGGTATACTTGTCAAAGATTGTAGAGTCCAGGGGTTGTCAGACTCAATCAGTTGTCTTCTTTAATCCCTTCTATAACTTATTGTTTCAGATTGTTTTTTTTTTCTATGAACTTGGAGCTCCCTGCTGCAGCTAGACTGCTGGCCAGCAAGCCCTAGAATCCACCTCTCTTCTCCTGCTCCCCTCTTCTGCCCTTCCCCTTCATAACTGAAATTCTAGCACCTGGTTATGTGTCTGCGAGAAGGGTAGAAGGAATGCTGGAGTTTGAGGTTAGCCAGTCTGAACTATATAATGATTATCAGGCCAGCCAGGACTATGAAGCAAGGCCCTTTAGCAGATACCCCTACCTACCTATCCCCATGCACAGAAGTCTGAAAGCTGGAGCTGGGGAGTAGTAGAGAACATGCCTACCATAAGTAAGAACCTGGTTCCATTCATCCTGACCACCATTTAAAAAACAAACAGCCAGGCAGTGGTGGCGCACTCCTTTAATCCCAACACTCGGGAGGCAGAGGCAGGCAGATCTCTGTGAGTTCGGGACCAGCCTGGTTTACAAGAGCAAGTTCCAGGACAGCCTCCAAAGCCACAGAGAAACCCTGTCTGGAAAACAAAACAATACAAAACAAAACAAACTTAGCTTCCCCTGATTATATCCAATAGAAATATCATTTAGCAATGTCATTGCATTTCCTCTACACAGCCTTCATGAAGGCAGACCATCTTAAGCCTTTTCTACTTTTTGGCACAATATAGAAAGTGCTAGAAATTCTATTAAGCAAAAGTTAAGAGCAGGTATATGTATAGTTAGCCAACATTACCAGGCTAATTGCTTTCCTGTTCCTGTGACAATATATAATGAAAAACAACTTATAGAAGAAGATTGTGGGGTTTTTTATTATTATATTTTCTGGCTTATGGTTCCTGAGCCAGAATGGCAGGGGAGGCATGATAGAAGATGTCCAGAGCAAAAAGGTGAATGATCACATTTTCAATAGCAAGGAAAAAGTAAAAAGAGCTAAATGTAAGTGAGGCTAGGATACTGTCTTAGTTGGAGTTCTGTTGTGAAGAGATGCTGTAACCATGGCAACTCTTATAAAAAGGCTGGGCAGTGGTGGCCCATGCCTTTAATCCCAGCACTGGGAGGCAGAGAGAGACAGATCTCTGTGAGTTCCAGATCAGCCTGGTCTACAAGAGGGAGTTCCAGGACAACCTCCAAAGCCCCAAAGAAACCCTGTCTTAAAAAAAAAAAAACAAACAAAAACTATTTAATTGAGGCTGGCTTACAATTTCAGAAGTTTAATCCATTGTCTTCATGGCAGCTCATTTATTCTGAGCCAAATGTGAAGGACCATGGAATGGGTTATTCTTTGTGACACATTTCACCATGAACATGATTACATGAATGTTCACAGTCACAGATCAAGACGAAGTAAAGCATTTTCCACATACATTGGTGGGCATATCAGGTAGACAGAGTTATAGCAAAGTGAGAAATCTGTTCTGTAGTTTCAGATGCTGTCTTATATACATTTTTAGCTTTTAGGGTGGTGGAAGCTAATGCACTACAAAGTTCATACACATTCATTCTGAAATCATATATAGACCACACTGGCATACTGATGTGGATTATCCTTATCTCCTTCAACCAGCAATGTCTGATTATGTTTCCATGCACTTACCAGATGTCTTAATTAGGGCTTCTATTGCTGCAATGAAACACCATGACCT